AGGGATGAGCGTCAGGTCTACGTCTGTGGGAGGAGCTGCTGCTGCCCGAGGTGCAGGGGAGTCCCGGTGGTTATGGCAACCCGTGCCCCAGGCCAGGACTTTACTGGTGGACCAGGAGATGTGAGGCTCATGGCGGCAGAACCAGGAATGACCCAGGATGAGAGGCGTAGCCGGAGCCTGGATGACCAGGAAGTGGAGGGTCTCCCGGTGTTGGTCAATAGTCATGTGGAGACCCTGAGTTCGGTGGGTGAGAGGGTACGGCATGATGGGCCGGCCGTCCACAGAGGTCACGGGAATGGGTCGGTCGAGGGCGGTGAGGGGTATCTTGAGCCGAGTAACCAGTCCGTGGTCGATAAAACACTCCGCAGCCCCAGTGTCTAAAAGTGCCTCCAGTCTGGTCGGGCCTTGGTCCAGGTGGAGGGAGACCGGGAGAGTGGTTCGGTGTGGAGCCGGAAAAGTGGAGACTCCGGGCGGGACAGCTCCTACTCCGACCCGGAGGGACCTTTTCCCGGTCGTTTTGGGCACGTGCCACGGTGGTGACCCAAATCCCCACAGTAAGCGCATCTTCCCTCCTGGTAGCGCCGTGCCCGTTCCTCAGGGGGAAGATGTCCCAGCTGCATCGGCTCCTCCGTCGGTTGGTGAGCCGGCCGGCGGGGTGACGTCCTGGTGTGTACGGGGGCTGACATGGTGCTCGGCCGGTTCAGGATGCAGCGGTCCAGTTGGAGAGCCAGATCCACTGCCAGGTCCAGGGAGGTTGGGACCTCGTGCCCGATCATGCCCTCCCGGATTCTCGGTGACAGTCCCTCCAGGTAAACGGCCTTTAGGGCGGCGTCATCCCACCTCAACCGAGCTGCTGTCGTCCGGAAGCGAGAGGTGTACTGAGCCGCCGTCTGGGAGCCCTGGCGAAGCTGAAGCAGCCGCGTCTCGTCCGAGACCTCGCTGCTGGGGTGCACAAAAGTCTTTTTCATCTCCTTTACAAAAGTCTCATAGTCATTGCAGGCAGGAGATTTCTGATTGTAAAGAGCCGCCGCCCATTCACCGGCTCGACCTGTCAGCAGTGAGGTCAGCAGAGCGACACGAGAGCAGGATGTGGGGTAGCGTGCCGGCTGGCACTCGAAAGTCATGGCCAGGGTCGCCAACATGCCCTCCGGGGATCCCCTGGTTCCGTCCCACTTCTCTGGAAGGCTGAGGCGTGGTTCCATCCTGTCAGGAACAGCTGCGGTCTGACGTTGCAGAGCGGTGGTCAGCTGGAGTACTAGCTCGGTGAGTGACTCAATCTTTGTGGCTTGGCGATCAGCTATGGCACGGAGCTGGTTCATGTCTGCCGTCTGCTGATCCAAGATTGCGCGCTGTTGAGCCACTTCGGCACGCAAACGCGCGAACTCCGCTGGGTCAACTTGTGGCTCAGTCATCCTGTCAGGTTCGTTGGCAGATCTGAAGCGTGACTGAGAGTTCTGTTGCCCAGACGCGGAGAGACGGAGATAGCCGGCGTGGTTATCTCCTGTAGGTGTAGTATGAGTGTTTTGAGGGCTGGTAAGCCTGGAGACTCGATACAAAGTCTGGTGAGAAACGATGACTGAGCAATGAATGAAACGCCGGCACTTCCTTAAGTAGTGCCGGCGTGATGACGTCAGTCGCCACGTTGGTGGCAGGAATGAATGGAATGCAGTCAGCTGGAGGAGTTCGTGACAATATGATGCAAACAGAAATGTACCAGGACTGGCTGGGACTGTGTGCTTTCCCCCAGTGGAATGAAGCTAAAGAAGGTAAAGTGTCACATTCACCTGATCTTCACCCTACACGAGCTCAGTTTGACTGACATCTGTCAGCCTCTACGATGAGAGCTGTTACGGCTTTTTTCACAGTCACTGAACACCAGCCACGAGTCAGGAAAACTCTTTCAGGAAGTGTTGACTTCTGAACATGAATCAAAAGGAGGGACATTACATTAACTTGCAAGACTGAGAAAAAAGGTTGATTGGAACATCTGGTCGCCCTAAGTTACAATATGACACACAACATAAACTTATGTCAAACTTATTAATGACAATTAAATGATCTCCAAGTTTATCTTCCATTTACTTGTCGTAGGCTTTGTAAATGTGCCCCTTACTTGTTTGATTGTAACAAATGTGTAACGTGCTAACAAGCTTGTCTTCGTGTTGTTGGTGTCCGACTTGTGTCTTGCTGTGATGGGATCTCATTTTTCACCGGATGAAACAGGCCAGTTTGTAGGGAGGCAGCATTCATGTTCTTTGTAACAACAGTGAACACAGCAGGTGTGGAGGTCACCTTTGCTGTAAAAGAGGGACCACATTTTTCTTGCAGGAAGCAACAGAAACGCGGACGAGAACAAATTGGTTTGTGTCTCTTTCTGTCCCGGGTCCGTATTAATGAAAGTCACACTGTTTTAAACTTTCATTAGACTACCGCTGGTAAATTCTTCAGTTCAGATTGACACGGACATACCACATGCAGGATGTCTCCATTGTGTTTAGGCGTTTCCTGAAACACTGTGGACTGACAGCCTGCGCACGCTATCTTATAGAGTGAACTGGCTAAAGGCAGCAGACTTTGGCTCCTCCACTCACTACAAACAACAGCAGATCCAAATATTCTTCAGCCAAGCACCAAATAAAATTGGCCCTCTCAATAGTGAAACAAGCCAACATTTTGCAATACAAAATGAAATGATGCCAAGGTCGTTTTCAACTCCCACCTGGGACAATATTTCTACTCAGAACAGCAGAAACGGCACTAGAACGCTCCTAAGTGCTCAAACTGAGCCCTGATCAATCTGCAGAAGCATTCACGCTGTGGACAAAAAGGATAACGTCCAAATCACACAGCATTTTATTTTTTACTGAATTAATGCACTTATGATGATGCAACATGTGTTAAGTTTGTTCCTGATGGTTCAGAAAAAAATGTGATTGACTAAAAAAGCTCTAAAGGGCGCAGATGGAGCAGCTATTAGAACAATTCAACTTTCTCACAGTGAAAATGAAAAAAAAAGTACTAATGACTTGTTGAGAATCCTCGCTATTTGCCTCAGACTCCGGCTGTGGTTCTCCGTCCACTTTCTCTGCTTCCAGTTCAAAAAACTATCTGAACTGCCTGGTGGACATTTATCCTTCTCATCATCCTCTATATAAGCCTAATAAAAGCCTACTAAACTGCAGAGACAATATATCTGTCCGGATCGCTCCAAAATATGAAGTTTACCATCAATATCTGTCTAATTGTTTGTTGTTACTCCGTTCGCGCCACTCCTTTCCCGGGCGAAGCGGCTCCTTTTTGCGCACATCTCGTTACTCGTGCGGCCTTCCTCTCTCTCTCAGCTAAATAATGATACTTTTTATCAGTTTAATATGTGAGATTTCCACCAGCAGCAAAAGGATCTCATGTTTTTGTGGGTTTTTTTTATGTTCACAAGCACATTCCCTCTCACGGATTACTAAACTGCTGTTTTGACAAGTTATCAGATTGTCTAAAAATAGGTCGTTTTTTTAGTTTAGTAAAACTTCGCTTTTACGTTGCCTATTGACAAAATGTAAAAACTGGGGTGTAGTTTATAATCTCCTTTTTAAAGCTGAATTGAAACCGAAACTCAGGGAGGCGGAGTCTTGCTGCTACATTATCCCAAATCAGACCTGTTCAAAAGACCCCAGAGGGTTAATTCAGTTATAGTGGTGAGGAAACAAATGTTTAATGCTAATATGTTTTCAAAATTTGCTATAACAGCTTTAAACGGTCTCTCAGTCTAAGTTGAATTACTGACTGATGAATGGAGTTTGGTACAATATTCTCTTTTTTCCAGTTTCACCTGTGTTTGTGCTAAAACGGCTGTTGGAGTGAAAGGAGTTCATGTCATCTTTCAGCTGAACCTTTCCCACAAAACCCCCACACACCTGCTCTGACCTGTTTAAACTTTGACTGAGACCCCTATCTGAGCTACGGAGCTCTGAAAAGGGTGGGGCTTTCTCAGTTGTTTCATCATAATTTATGACTTAATTTCTAACAGTTTTTGATTTTTTAAGTTTTACTTTGAATGACTGCTGATTGCTTACTGGGATATGAAAGTGGACACAAAATGTGGCACCTATTTTAGAGAGCATATGTACTACAGGTTAGTGCATGGGTTTGAACATGGGTCTAAATGTGGAGACATCCGTTAGTCTCATCGGAGGTGAGATGCGACGTTATCGGAGGCTGTGAAGGCGGGCGTGAACAGCTGCGTTTCAGCTTAGAACTCCACTTGTGTCACTGTTGATTAGCAAACAGCTGGCTGCTTTATCTTCAACACTTTGCACACGACTTCCATCAGCGCGACTTCAAAAAAGTCACACATCAAAGAGCCCATCAGCCTAATTGCTGCACCGAAAACGTCCTTTCTTGAAATACTGCTTGATGCTCGGCCCTCCTGCGCAGCGACCAGATCAAACTCAATTAGCCGGGAAATGCTGCGCCAAGACACTATTAGAGGTGAGTCATTATCGTTATGACTTTTGTTTAAAATCAGCAAAGCGTGTGCTCGTGTAGGAGGCGTTCTGTGAAGACATCCCTGGGAGCTCTGCTGAAGATATCCACTGCAGACATAATTGGGTCAATAAAAGCGGACCTCAGCAGACTGGGACAAAGTGGCCTGAGCCAGCACGGCACACGGCGGTAACACAACACGTTCACTTGCACTCGCTTTCTCTGCTCACACTCTGACTTGGACTTATTAGAGCAGCACAATCATTTTTCTTTCTGTGGCCAGGATCATGACTCGGACAAACCCCAGAAGGCCAAAGATACATTTTCTCTCTATCATAAGACCCTCCCAGAGCTCTGAACTTAGGGGACTGTACTATATGAGAAACCTCCATGTTGTCACTGCTTCCAATTTTCAAATAAACGCCCGGATTTTCTTCTTTTTTATAGTTCACAAGGAGAAAATGGAAAAGTAACAGTGTTATTCTTTCTAAAATGAATAAAAGCAACATAAGAATACATACTAAGCTGGTACTCCAGGAGATATCCGGTGAGGATCCCATTAGGCTCTGAAGGAGGGGTCCAGGTCAGAGAGATGGAATGCCTCTGTACATCTGTGACTCTGAAAACTGGATTTTTCTCTGGGACTGTCAGTATACACACACACACACACACACACACACACACACACACACACACACGAAAAATAAGCAGCAACCCACTTCTCTCAGCTATTATTAGATTGCCCCTTCAGTATACGTGAATCGATCCACCCCGTGCTGGTTTTCCACAGTTCCTACCTCCCTCTGGGGTTTTGAAGTTTATGGGATGGCTGCCGGGGCCGTTGCCCCGCCCGTTGAAGGTCATGACGATGAGGCTGTACTCAGAGAAAGGCGTCAGTCCCGGCACAGTGGCGTGGTTCCGATCCCCGGGGAACGTCAGCATGTGTTTGTCTCCGTGGCGTTTCTTCGAGTCCACTAAACTCCTCAGCCGCCACCAGTTTATCTGGATTGGAAGATAGACGAACAGCGTTTCTACACGCTATGTGTGCTTCATGTGAGGAAATGCTGGACGTATTTCTTTGATGGTGTGAGCAGGTAAACAATGAAATGGTCAGTAGAGAAGACAGACTGAGGTGAGAGAAGCAACTGTTCAGAGCAAGGTCAGGGCCATTCCTTTTAAAATGTGTCCAAAAGCAAAGCTATGTTTGGTGAGGTATTACCCTGTAGCCTCCCAAGTGTCCACGCAGCTTGTCCTTGTGTACTGGTGTCCAGGTAACCTTGACTACAGAGCTGTTCATCACCTCCACAGCTACATCGTCAGGTGCAGTTGAGGGAACTGCAAACAAACATCAGAGTTGGCGAGTGATTCTGCAGCAGAACAACCAAAACGACACAACAGCTAGACCTCTAGAGCTCATCTACAAAAACAGGATTCTAAGAACCCACGATAGTAATTTAGAAGGATAAGCAGCTACAGAATGAACGCCACATTTCATACCACCAGTTTTATCTCGGCACACAACACTGAATAAGTGTCACAACCTGAGGTGACCTCCTGAGGGCAGATCCAGAAGAAAGCTACACAAAGAAGAAAATATTCTTGTTATACTGAGAATGACTTTTTTGGAGCCAAATTTTAGTACTTTCAAGGTGAGTTTTCAAGACTTTTTAGTACTTTCAGCACACCATCAATCCATCCATCCATTTTCGGCCGCTTATCCGGGGTTGGGGCGCACGGGCAGTAGCCTAAGCAGGGAGGTCCAGATTTCCCTCTCTCCAGCCACTTGGACCAGCTCCTCAGGGGGAATTCTAAGGTGTTCACTGGCCAGCTGTGAGACAGTCTGTCCAGCGTGTCCTGGGTCTTCCTTTAGGCCTTCTCCCAGTTGGATGTGCCCAGAAAACCTTAGCAGGGAGGTGTCTAGGAGGCATTCTAACTAGATGCCCAAGCCACCTCAACTGGCTCCTTTTCGATGTGGAGGTGCAGCGGGTCTATGCTCAGCCCCTCCCGGATGACCGAGCTTCTCACCCTATCTCTAAGGGAGAGCCCAGACACCCTGCAGGAAAACCTAATTTCGGCTGCTTGTGTACGCGATCTCATTGTTTCGGTCACTACCCAAAGCTCATACTTTCAGCACACTATTGATGATTTAAACACACTGAAAAGTTACCCTAAAGATGATAAGAACCCTTTTTCTGCCTAGATTGTGTATGACTGTTTGTTTTCACATTTTTATCACAGTAAATAAAAATGTCCCATTATCTGTTTTGCGTGACAAATGGGCATCGTTAGAAAGATGGCACCCATGAGAACTCCGAGTTTTCCGCTTATAGAGTTTAGTCGTTCACAACCATAGCATTTTTTCTGAACCACACTTGCTCGTGAGAATGCTACCTGCTAGCTTAGCATTAGCAATTCTGCTCGTAGTTTAACTCCTGATCCCAAACATTGGACCTTTTCTGCCTTTTATATTGGTTTGTGTCTTTGCTGGTTTCTCTCTTGTCCTCCACAGCACCTCGATCGTAGCGCACCAGTAAAATGTGTTCAGACTGTGGAGCGCACATTCAACGAAGCTTCGAATCAATAAAAAATTATTGAAGAATTTAATGAATCAAACCATTCGAATAGTTCAATGATTTGTTTCAGCCCTAAAGGAAACATTTAAATAAATGTGTTTTTACCAGATTTAGTTAAGCTTTGGTCAAGACCACTGTGTAACTGACTGTTTAAAATAGGTTTGGATTTGCAGACTTGAGTGCAATAAAAACCTATTGGGATAATCATTTTAGCTGTAATGGTCCAAATACCTTCAATCATGCGGGACGGCTGCTTAAGATAAAGCAGTGAGTCATATTTCTGTTGTGATCATGTACTGTAATATTGATAAATTTGTTCAGCCATGAAAGTGCCCTCATTTAAAGTTCCAGTCCCACACATTCCAGCTGCATCCAAACGTATCCCCCACATCTAAATAAACTCTTTCTTCTTTAAGCTCAAACTGCAACAAATGTTCAGCTTCAGCTGACAAAAAGATGTGGGTGGAAGGTCTGTGATCTTCTGTGCTTTGATGCATGGAAACCAAAAGACTATTTCAGTCATTTAGTTTCCCTATGTTAAATATCTTTGAACTGCATTCCTGGAAAAACAAAAAATACCCCAAACTTTAATTTTAAAGCTGCAAAAACCGGTATTTCTTCCATCAGGCTGGCTGACAAATTTCAGAGGAAAGGCAGAACACTTCACACAGAAAAACAAATGGATGTAAAACTATGTGACACAAAGAACAGTAGAGTAATTGGCTGTTTGTACTCGTTGTGCTGACATCACTCTGTTCTCAGCTTTTGTTTCAGTCTCCAAACTTCTGCACGGAATAAGGGAGTATCAGCCGCACCACGTCTACCATTTGGTACGGAGCAGATGGGATAGGCCGAGTCATCACAACATTTACCGAGCAGATATGATGACATCACAACCAAATTGTGTGTGAAACGACACCAAAATGCTACACAATGAGCATCAACACCTGAGTCGCTGCTGAGAAAAAACAAAAAGTGCTTATTTAAATAGAACTGACACAGGATTACTCACAGTCCTCTCCTGAGTAGCCGCTCACGATCCTGGGCTCCGGGCCCCACCCCTGGTTGTTCTTGGCTTGGACCTTGATTTCATACGGCACAAACGTGGGGGTGTTCTTAACCACAAACGAGTGTCTCTTCACAGTGTGTTCGGTCCATTCCTCCTCCACGTCCTGGCGCCTGTAGCTGACCTTGTACTCCAGACCAGGGCCATTGTGCTCAATGGGCAACAGGGGCTGAAGGGTTTAAGGAGGGGAACAGCAGATCAATCAAATGTGTTAAAGTGTTCTCTCGTGTTAGATCTGACTGACTTACAGGATCTTAAATGATCCAGACGCCTTCTCCGGGGCTCCCCTCTGCTACTAAGCATTTTCATTTATTACTGAAACTCAATAATTATTAAATGGGTTGGGTTCAGTTCTCAGGTTATGAGTTCTTAGAGTCTACCTATTATAGTTTGACAGGCTCTATCATTGGCGGTTTTTAAATCTAGTTTAAAGACCCACTTCTACTACTTGATTTTTAGACAGTGACTCCTTTTATTGTTTTATTGTATTATTGTTTTAATGTATTTTTTTTTAGTATTCCTCGTTTTATTTGCTTTATTGATCAGTATTTTTATCCTCAGTTTTTTTTTTTTTTTTGTTGCTTTGATTAGTGATTTGGTCCAACCTGTGCAGCACTTTGGGCAGCTCCCATGCTATATTTTAAATGTGCTATACAAATAAACTTTGGTACGGTATGGTAATGATATTTTCCTTCTGTTTCCAAGGTTTCTGTGGGGTTCCCAACTTTCTTATCTTTGGTAGATAATGTAACGTCACAAAATGGACTGATTTTAAAGATCCCACAGGTCATATGCAGCCAGAGCAAATAACCCTGGCTACTACATGTCCTGCTGTATCTTCCCTTGTCAGGAGTCTGTGAGTCAGCACAACTCAGCATTTCATTCAGATGACTTCATCAGCTGAGCGCAACTTCATCAGATAATAAAGATGAACAGTAGCATTCCTTTCCCCAAGGTTCCTCACAAGAGAACTCTTTAGATAAACGTTTTATTATCCAAAAGAAAAAGAAGATTTCATAATTAAAGTAATCATTTTATAATTCAAAATAATCATTAAAGAAAGAAGATTTTATGATTAAAAATCATTACATATTGCCATGTATAATTAAGCAATGAAATGTTCATGAATCTGTACTCAAGGATTGTTTAAGTATGCTTACTGGATTAGGTCATAACCATCTGCTCACACCAGACAGAGAGTCTAAGATAAGATTGCATGACACATAACTAACCTTGTCCCTAGACTCAGAGACTCTGCGTCTCAGAGCGTGTTTCTGAGATTCTTGGTAAGTTTGGTAATCGGGCATTTAAATCAGCCGCTCCGCTTTCTCGTCAGTCGGGAGAGAAAACTGAAGACTGGCCATCTCTTAGCAGATCTCTAGCTCAGAAAGATTTTGACAGGCTGTCAAAACCTTAAAGCTTTTTGCACCTGCGAAGCTGAAGAAGAACAAGATAGTTTTCCTGCAGAACAAAGCTGACTCAAACTCCTTCAGAGTTTAAGACGCTTGATTCCATTCATCTATCGTTGTGACCCGGAGGCATCTGAGGACTGATTTGGTCACATCGAGGTTACTCTACGAACCAGGTGCAGTGGGTCGTCGGCTCCTGGACATCTCAGATCCCATCGGGGTCTCCAAATGGGTGAGGTAGACACAACGAGACAGCGCCTGCATGTGGTTCTGATAATAGCAACTTAAATAGTTTAGATGCAAACCAAATTATTTTATATCCAGAACGCACGTCTCTGAAGATACGGAGATTCTGATTAATCATCTCATATAGTTTTCAGACACCCATCTTTTAGTTCCATCCACTCACAGGATAATAGTTTAAACCATTTGCCAAGTCTTAATTGTTTGTAAAATAAATTCTTATTTGTTTGCAAACACTGACTGGTTCTTGAATCAAAAACGAAGTGTGAAAGATCCCTTAATAATTAAAAGAATCCTTGAACCTTCTAATTAATCATCCTAAGACCAAGCAAGGTGATATTCTATAATTAATAGAGTATTACAGCTATTGGTCACAAGTAATGAGAATAGAAATAAATAGCTTTTAAAGCAATTAATTTAGCCCACATCACTACTATTTTCCATTACATTCAAAAAAGAAAAATGTTTTCAATTGTCTGGACTCAAATATTTATTTATTGACTTGTATTTAAGGAGGATAACAAAAATGGTTCCTGTTCCCTTTCTTTTGTTGGATTGATCACAACACTGACATGAATCTGTAGCCTATTGTTCATTTTTGGGTTTGTTTTGGCGGATCACATCTTCAGCACACTATCAATCCATCCATCTTGAATTGGTTGACTCAGTGAGGTAATCCTTTGTACACTGCAAAAACTGATTTCTAAAAAAGTAAAATAAGCCTCTTTTTTAGACATTTTGTCTTATGTTTAGATAAAAAGTGTAAAATGAAGCTTTTTTGACTTTCTTAGAAATCTGTTTTTGCAGTGTAGATCTAATAATTATCTTCTGACAGTTGTATTAAATAGTTCCGTGGTCTATGGGGACAATGTGCATAAAAAGACAGACTCACAACTACCCTGTAAAATGTCAGCTCAGTAAATGTAGGAAAATGAAATACATCAGTTTTTATTTATTCTATTTAAAACATATAGTTTTTATCTGTTTTATTTAATATTTACAGAAACACCATTGACTAGTCCAACATGCCTTTCAGTTTTACTACTACTACTACTACTACTACTACTAATAATAATAATAATAATAATAATAATAATAATAATAATAATAAAAACTTATAGCGTTTGTTTAGGACACTCTCACATTCACACAGTGCTAGTGATGGTAAGCTACGTTGTAGCCACAGCCGCCCTGGGGCGTTCTGACAGAGGCGAGGCTGCTATTTGGCGCCATTGGCCCCTCTGACCACCACCAACCCAGGCAAGTTGGGTGAAGTGTCTTGCTCAAGGACATAACAGCAGAATAACCCTTGCGGGGGCTGGAATCGAGCCCATGACCCTCTGATCATGAGGCAACCAGCTCTACCTCCTGAGCTACTGTTGCCCCAAATTATATTGCCTGATATTTAAATTAGCATATTAAATTAAATATAAATTGTAGTTATTTATAAATAAAAAAAATCAATGCTTGCCTTTTTTAATTCCTATGAGATCATGTTTAATCTGAACTGGGAATAAAAACTTGACAGTTTACAGAAAGAGCCAGGGTCTCAGAGGGATTTGGGTAAAAATAAACAACTACTAAAAACAATCAACAAGTTATTATTGTCATTTAGAAGTCAGTGTGATACTGTATGGCCTTAATTTTGATGTTAATACATTTGAAACATTTTGTAACTTTTAAGGATCATGCAGAAACTCTTTATGAGGAGGACCAACTGTCTTTGGCGGCCATCTTTAATGAAGCTGGCTCCAAAACTTAATCAGTTGTAGATGAGCGTCCAATGAAGAATTCGGTCTACTCCATATTCCAATATTTTGCACACAGAAAAACAAAAACATTACCAACCAACTTTTATCTCTGGGCAAAAACAAGATACAGCCCCACTGTCGGCCTGTGGTGGAGTTTCATCTAATAAAACAGCGACCCGATCCAGCAGCAGGACTTTAATTTGATACAAGGCTTGCTAAGCTTCATCTCCACACAGAAGTCCAACTATGAGGAACAAAATGAGGAACCATTATCCACAAAAGTAAATGGTTAACAGCAGGAGAACGGGCACATCTATGAATCAGCCACACTAACATGACAGGGCAGCACATATAAAAGGAGAGATTCATCTTCCTACAGTAAAGGCAAACAGATGAGTGTGAATGTTAAAAGGAAGACTTTCTTTAACCACCTCCTTTTGCTTCCTAATCAAAGGAAATGGAGCAGCTTTCAATAGAAACCAATTACAAAAGGGCTTTTCTCAATCTGCCCGCTGAGTGAAATATCAGAAGTGGGCTTTTTCTGTTTCTAAAATTATTGGTAATTGCAAATGAAACATTGATAAAACTTCAACTCTGTTCTCGGAGAGGAGTTCTATGAGTGCCAGAGCCTGTATTGGAAGTGAATAATTCACTATGTAAAGGTAGGCCGCTCAGCAGAATGTGCAGTAACAGGATAATGGAGCAGCCGACTCTGGTTCTTACCTCCCAGTTGATATCCATTTCATGTGGCAAATGACCTTCGATTTTGATATTTTCAGGGTTCTTGTCTGGGGCTGTACAAAAAGAAGCAATATAGATTTTGTCAGCATTGTTAGTGGGAGAAATGTCCAGTGAAAGAGGCGCACAAGAGAGCAGGTTTTCAACAAGAGTGGATTCAATTATGTGGCGGGTCTGAGCGTTTTAAAGTTCACAGAGCCGCAGTGTTGGCAGCTCGAGTGGCCCCAGGAGACCTTATCAAAAATACTATTATAAACACTGGAAGGAGGACGCGTCCAACCTGCAGGGGGGGTTCTGTACATCTCTGTAGGCTTGCTAGGAGGCCCTGCTCCTACAGAGTTCACGCCGTAGACTCGGAAACGGTATTCGACGTGGCCGTGGAGTCTCAGGACAGCTGAGTTTTGGTTCCTGGATACTCGGAGCAGCTCCCTCCACTTCCCCATCTCCCACTTGTTTTCCTCATACTCGATAATGAAGTCTGTTGACAAGCAGAGAGACAATCAGAGTGAGTCTTCCTTATCTAGCCAGCAGCTGTGCAGAACACACCCCTGAAACCCCGCTCCGGAGGGACGGATCACAATCCACACTCAGGTGAATCAATAATGACTGCATTTAGATGGTATTGAGCGCATCTATTGTACATGCTCATAAACGTGTGTCGTGTTGATCCCCTTCATGCATGTGCTGGTTGCTCCTACCTGTGATGGAGCTGTTGTGATCGTCTCCAGGGATCCATGTCAGTTTCACACTCCTGCCCCTGTGTTCAGACAGAACCAGGTTTTCCGGAGCATCGGGAACATCTGAAACCCAACAGAGCGGATTAAGGAAGTCACACGAGACGGGAAAGGCCAAAAGACCAGATGGAGGTGTCAACGATTTAGATCCTTTAGACAACATGTCACACATGGAAGTAGCTCCTGAGAAGAACGAGGGCTTGAATGTTGGCTCACCTAACACCATGAGGAGGGCCGAGGCTTCATCCTGGTCCACCGGAGTCCGAGCCACACATCTATACACCCCCTGGTCTCCGTGGCTCACATTGACGATGTGAAGAACACTATCCTCCACAAAGTATCTGTTAACAGAGGCAGGGAGACACAATATCGACTGACCCAACTGAGAAGTAAAGCCACTTTTCAGTCAAGACAAAGTCTGAAACGTTTTTAAAGAAATGAACACAATCCCAGGCCCTACCGTAGATTCACGGTGTCGTTGAAAGAGATCTCTATGTCGTCTTTCTCCCACACGAGTTCAAAGTCGTGGCTGAAGGACTCGTCATACTCTGCCAGGCAGGAGAGCTGGGCCTCTGAGCCTTTTAAGATCTGCTGGTCCTCTGGGGTCACTACGATTCTAGTGGCATCTTCCACAAGAAGGACGAGTTAGTGAAACTGCAGGGTATGATGGGCTGCTGCATCAACCTATACCTTTAACATAAAGCATGGCGTCGATGTTGGATGATCCCTCCGTGTTTTTTGCCAAACACGTGTACTGTCCTGCGTCACTTTTCTCTGCTCTGGAGATCTCCAACGAGCCGTCGTCATGAATCTTAAATCTAGAACCTTCCACAGATTCAGAGGAGTCATCTTTACTCCTGGAAAACAGAAAATAGAACCCTTGGTAAAATCTAAGGAATGGTTATCAAACTGGAGAGCAAAAGGTCCTGATTTCTAGATAAGGTCAAAGGTCAAAAACAATTAGAGAAGCAAATCCCTTTTGTTAGGTTTGTTGACAACCACAAAGAAAAGTCAATTTCTTGTTTTAACCGCTCTTCTACCTTTGTTCTTAGATCTCTTCCCAATGAAAGCGTTTGATGTTTTTCTTTCATTATGTAATTAAAAATTCAATTTCTTCTTTATTTTTTACCTTCATGCTGTGGTTTAATATCATTTTTATTGTTGCCGATGTCTTGTCCTTTATTAATTTTATTTTACATCAACTTTTAATTGTTTTTAATGCACTTTACAAAGAAATTAGACTGAAGCGTGGTTTTATGACATATTAGTTGCCTAAACTTGATTAACTTAATTACATTCGTAACAAATGAGGTGCCTGACTTTTTTTTTCTCCCCATGTCCCGTCTGGAAGCCTTACAGATTTAATCTCAGATGGAGCCTCAAAGCTTCTGCTTTAATGATACTTAAAACTTTATAGTTTTTGCTTTTTGAATGCTTTATAATTCCGACCAGACACAGAGACAGAGGTGAAAGAGAAAGGAAGAGACAAGGGGGGGGGGGGGGGAGGGGGGGGGTGTTGGTCCACAAAAATAAACAATCAATGATGAACAAGAGTCTGCTTCTAGACCTGCAGAAGGAGAAAAAAAAGAAAAGGGACACACAATAATACACCAGGAGCAAGCTATCACTGTGTCAACCTGATGAGGAAATATATAATCAACATTGTTTTACTGAACAATCACATGATAATAAATCACAGTGCATTTAGTGCCAACCACAGCCTTAAGACATGTGTTGAAAATGCCCAAGTCCATACTTATGAGAGCACCATGTGAGCACCTGTGTGCGTTCACACGCCTGTGTATGTAAGGTTTCTCTATAGGAGAGTCCAATAGAGAGTGTGAGGGGCCACAGATCTGCCCCCAAAGATGTGTAGGAGATGGAGGGAGCTCCAAGTCCCAGAGATCCAGGAGCTGCCCTAGAGCGCAGGCACCCCAGGGAGGCTGTAACCAGAAAAGCCCCAGTCCCCCCTCTGGAGACGCAGAGGATTGCCCCGGGGGGCCACAACCAGCAGCTGGCCGAGCCCGGAACCCAGCGACCAGGAACCTAGGGGCAACCACCCCCACCGGAGACCCAACAGTGCCCAGGGACTCAGATCCCGGCAGGCAGCCACCGGGATCGATCAGGCAGACTCCAAAAATCTTAAACCCCCTGACCCGGGAGTCACAAACACTCAGGCAGACCACGGCACCACACTCCACACCAACTGTGGCAGGGGGAGGGTAGGCAAAGATGTGTACCAGCACAAGAAGTCCCGGGAGAGGGGAGGAGTCCAAGACCCTACCTGACATATACAGTCATACAATGAGGTGCCTGACTTTAAAGTGCAACCAAAAACAAAATATGTTCCATTTCTTTTTCCGCATTTTCCATTTGATCATGATCTGACTTTTTAATTTCATCCCAATTTTTCACCCAAGAAGTACTTAATTGTACAGTGAAACAATAAAAGTTCAACAAATAATCAGAAAAAGAATACAAGAATAAATATTGACAGTTCTTAACCCTTTGGGCGCCAGAGTTGTTTCAAGAAAATATTCAATTTTAACATGACTACTTCAAAGGACTGTAGCTTGGAAATGATTAGAGATAAAGGTAAACTGTAAATGAAAAAAAATAAAAAATAAATAAAGGTTTGTATTGGGAGCAAATGCACGTATTTAATTAGCATATTATGACATCATCACTTTGCCAAATTGAAATGCATCACGTTTACAGATGTTCCTTCCTATGTTTTTATGTTTTGTTTTGAAAAGGTTTATTTCTATATACATATATGAAGCTCTTTTGAAATTTTTTTATTTCATTTTAAAATTTTGCTGGAGTTGCTCCCGGTGAGAGGCGGAGGGCTGGGGTTGGCTTTTTGTTAGCCCCAAGACTCTCTGCCTGTGTGTTGGGGTTTACCCCGGGGAATGAGAGGGTAGCTTCCCTGCGCCTTCGGGTCGGGGAACGGGTCCTGACTGTTGTTTGTGCTTATGGGCCAAATATCAGTTTAGAGTACCCACCCTTTTTGGAGTCCCTGGGGCGAGTGCTAGATAGTGCTCCATCAGGGGACTCCATTGTCCTGCTGGGGGACTTCAATGCTCACGTGGGCAATGACAGCTTGACCTGGAAGGGTGTGATTTGGAGGAACGGCCCGCCTGATCTGAACTTGAGTGATGTTTCGTTATTGGACTTCTGTGCAAGCCGTAGTTTGGGCATAACGAACACCATGTTCGAACGTAAGGATGCCCATCGGTACACTTGGTACCAGGGCAGCCTAGGTCGCAGGTTGATGATAGACTTTGTAGTCGTATCATCTGACCTGCGGCCGTATGTTTTAAACACCTGAGTGAAGAGAGGAGCGGAGCTGTCAACTGATCACCACTTGGTGGTGAGTTGGATCAGATGGCAGGGGAAGATACCACGTAGACCTGGCAGACCCAAACACATAGTGAGGGTCTGCTGGGAATGCCTGGCAGAAGAACCTGTTACGACGGACTTCAACTCCCACCTCCGGCAGAGCTTTGACTGCGTCCCGAGAGCAGTGGGGGACATTGACTCCGAGTGGGCCTTGTTCCACTCTGCGATTGTTGAGGCGGCTGTTGCTAGCTGTGGTCGCAAGGTGACCGGTGCCAGTCGTGGTGGCAACCCCAGTACCCGCTGGGAGACCTGGGGATGGACTGTCCAATCTCGGGGGCAGAAGTTGCTGAGGTAGTCAAACAACTACACAGCAGCGGAGCCCTGGGGGCAGATGAGGTTCGTCCTGGGTTTCTCAAGGCTATGGATGTTGTAGGGCTGCCATGGTTGACACATCTCTGCAACATTGTGTGGTCATCGGGGGCAGTTCCTGTGGAGTGGCAGACCGGGGTGGTGGTCCCCATCTTTAAGAAGGGTGACCTGAGGGTGTGTTCCAACTATAGGGGGATCACACTCCTCAGCCTCCCTGGAAAGGTCTACTCCAAGGTACTGGAGAGGAGGGTCCGATTGATAGTTGAATCTCAGATTGAGGAGGAGCAATGTGGTTTTTGTCCTGGCCGTGGAACTGTGGACCAGCTCTACACCCTTGCGAGGGTGATGGAGGGGGCATGGGAGTTTGCCCAACCAATCCACATGTGCTTTGTGGATTTGGAGAAGGCTTATGACCGTGTCCCCAGGGGCACCCTGTGGGGGACGCTCCAGGAGTATGGGGTGGGTGGCTTTCTGTTAAGGGCCATTCAGTCCCTTTACCAGAGGAGCGTGAGTTTGGGCCGCATAGCCGGTAGTAAGTCTGACCTGTTCCCGGTGAGGGTTGGACTCCGCCAGGCCTGCCCTTTGTCACCGGTTCTGTTCATTACCTTTATGGACAGAATTTCTAGGCGCAGCCATGGTGTGGAGTGTGTGGAGTTTGGTGGCAGGAGAATCTCGTCTCTGCTTTTTGCGGATGATGTGGTCCTCCTAGCTTCATCCAGCTCTGACCTTCAGCTCTTGCTGGGTAGGCTCGCGGCCGAATGTGAAGCGGCTGGGATGAGGATCAGCACCTCCAAATCTGAGACCATGGTTCTCGACCGGAAAAGGGTCGCTTGCCAACTCCGGGTCGGGGGAGAGGTCCTACCTCAAGTGGAGGAGTTTAAGTATCTTGGGTCTTGTTCACGAGTGAGGGTAGGAGGGATCGAGAGATCGACAGGCAGATTGGTTCAGCATCTGCAGTGATGCGGGCGCTGAGTTGATCTGTCATGGTGAAGAGGGAGCTGAGCCAGAAAGCCAGGCTCTCTATTTACCGGTCAATCTACATCCCAATCCTCACCTATGGTCATGAGCTTTGGGTAATGACCAAAAGAACGAGATCGCGGATAAAAGCGGCCAAAATGAGTTTTCTCCGTAGGGTGGCTGGGCTCAGCCTTAGAGATAGGTTGAGGAGCTCGGGCATTCGGGAGGGACTCAGAGTAGAACCGCTGCTCCTCCGGATCAAAAGGAGCCAGTTGAGGTGGTTTGGGCATCTGGTCTGGATGCCTCCTGGACGCCTCGCTGGGGAGGTGTTTCAGGCATGTCCTGCCGGCAGAAGGCCCCCGTGTCGACCCAGGACACGTTGGAGAGGTTACATCGCCAATCTGGTCCGGGAACGCCTTGGGGTCCTGCCGGAGGAGCTGGTGGAGGTGGCCAGGGAGAGGACAGTCTGGAGCTCCCTAGTTGGGATGCTACCCCCGCGACCCGGACCCGGATAAGCGGAGGAAGACAACGACGACGAAGACGACATTTAAAAATGTTTATGTTGTATTTCTGGATATTTATATTGGCATCACTCAAGAGAAAGGCTTTTTAGTCATGTTTGTCAGGTTTCTTTGGGCTTGTACAGCTTCAGGGATGTCCTTCCCTTGAATGTAATGATCATTTGATCCAAAGGAAAGAATACTTTCATAATTATGTGGCACACTTTGACTTCCGTACATAACGAAAGCATCTGCTGCTTCTTAGGTGTGTTCCTGCTGTGTCGCGTTTCCAATTCCATGCTGTAGTTCTTTTTTTTTTGCATCTGCTGCTTTTTACAGCTTTTTTTTTACTACGTCTGTCACATTAGCAATGTTTTCATCATAATTTCACATCCACCATGTCCCAAACACGATGAAACAAACTTCAAACCCAACGTTTGGAGCTTATAAACTCCATACACCTTACTCTCGTGCAGCACCGGCTGTCTGTTGCTGTGCGCTGCAGCAGTGTCAATCTTTCCGGCTGGATGAGTGTGTCAATATTCTGCTTCTTAATCAGCGTAAGCCATGACCAGACAAAGAGATCAGTCAACAAAGACCAGACCTGCCAGCGGTTGTAAGTTTTATCCCTCTAATATTCGCCCTCTTTGTACTGCTCTCGTTTACTTCTCTTGCCCTCTCCCCGACCGGGAACCTCTCGGCGGTTTTGAAATCCTAAAAACTCTGAAACTTTCAATATAAATGCACCCATGAGTGTAGCTCAGCCTGAAGTTACACATCTCCACTATCTTCTGCTGTAAAGTACTTCATCAGGGATCATATTTGTGGCTGTGGCTCGTTAAAAGTCAGTAACGACGCTTGTTGTGATATTGTAACTTTGGTGATTAAAGGGTTAACACTTTTTTTCACTAGAATATTCAGTATTTTATTTAGATAATCTTCAGATAAATGATTACATCAAACACACACGTTTTTTCTCTAATATAAAGTTCTGCACACAAATAGGAAAAGCCCTCTTTTGTGAAATGAAAATTTTTTTCTCATTAAAACCTAAAACTTTGTTTTAAATAAATCAATAAAATGATTTTCTATCCTGTTTGACTCACTTCTGCTTCTGCTTCTGCTGCTGCTGCTGATGAAGTCTCTCTTGTTTAGTTGGTAATTTTCATTTTTTCCACTAGAATTTCATCTCAATGTCTGATTCTTCACATCCAGATAAAGTCCACCAAACTCCTGTGCCTATTCGGCAGGAGCGTTATCTTAGAGCTAGGCTAACCCTAAATCTCTTCCTCTCTGTTCTGGTGAAACTTATTAATATATGATAATTAAATCACATTTTGCAGGTCTGGTCAGTCATGCACCAACAAAACTTAGTGACCAGCTCTTCTCCCAAATTTTGAACATATGTATTATTCTGCTCTAAGCTGTGGGCTTAAGGATACATGCTGGAAGCCTCTGCCCTCTTATTTTAAAGCAGTGTTTTCCTGATATGAGGGCTGGTCTGGATCTGGCTGGTCTGAACCAAGATTATGAGTTTTTGTAACTTGAAAAAATGAAGTAAAAATAAATCCAACCTTTAGTGCTGCAGCAATAATAAGTTACTAGATATTTAGAGTAACAGGATTACTCTGTGTTGTGTTTGTTTCTGAGCTGGAGGGAAACCAGATGATGCCTGCTGCTCTCTGCTGGTGTGTGTCGGGTCTGGAAGTAACTCACCAAGTGATGGTGGAAGGGGGCGAGCTGAAAGCGTTACAGTGGAGCATCACTCCTCTGCTCTCCACTGCAAAATAACCTTCTCCGTCCTTAGTCAGAATCATGGGCGGTAGATCTGTAAAGACCATCAGCAGAGGCCAGTCATCAGATCAAACAGGGAGGGGGTGGGGCAGTGAACATTGTTGTCTTACCTTGGTATCAGTTAAAAAAATACATATTTAATGTGTTTTGAGGATGGCTAAAAAAAGGAAACCAGAAAACAACGTCTCAATGATTCATTCTAGTCAATAGAAGGCAAATCTTGTGTCTGGTTGTTCATGAAGCAACTTAGAATTCAGAGACCGTCCACCTTTATTAGCTCCTTGGTGACTCGGTGCAGAGACAAAATGCTCCGCTTTGTCTGCTCTCGCTCGGCAGCACATGTTCAGCTAATGTTGGTGAAGTGTGTGCAGAATGTAGGGCGCACTTGTTAGCATATAAATGACTGAGAACGGAGCTTGTTGCTCCTGATGGAGAGCCGTTAACCAGAATGAGCTGCTGCAGCTGTAGACAGCTCTCCTCTCCTGGGCTCCACATGGCTTTATGGCATAAGCTAGCATGGGCGCTAACTCACAGGCTTCGCACAGCAGCCTGTAAGTGTCTCCCTGCAAAGTCAGACGCATCCTCACAGATACTGAGAAACGAGGGTCGCCTTTGTTTGTGGGTTAGGTTTAAGCTGGACAGAAACATGACTGATGAGAACTGTGGCCCACACAGAGAAAGGCTTTAGGACTTACTCCTGATCATGATGTTTGCGTTGGATAAGAGGCTCCCGTGCCGGTTGGAGGCCTCGCACTGATAGACGGCGCTGTCAGAGGCTTTGGAGTTACGGATTATTATGGTGTCATCAAATATCCTCCTGTTGGCCGCTGGGGAATCTGTAATGGACAAATGTTTTCATCATTTTAACACATCAGCCTCAGACCTCAGTGTTAACAACATGCATGCTACATTCATAACCATTAATGTGTCAAACTTTAAAACAAGCATCCAATTATAAAATCGAGTCAAATAAAATACAGAAAAAAGTGTGAGGGGACAATGTGATGCAGCATCACAAACGTATAGCCGAACAAAGAGGAAATCTCCCCCGACCTACATCTGAGTTGTTGTAATTACTTATTGAGATGGTTTTGATTTTATTTCTAACATTAACAAATTAGTTTTCTTAAGAAAAACAGATGAATTTGCACCCTTAGTTGCTCTTCTTTACTTTTATAGCAGAACTGTCTACCCATGTTTGATTTATGTGACTGTTGATCATGTTAATTAGTTATTCAAAAGGTTATTTTCCCCTAAATAGTTCTGATTTCAGACGTTTGTTGGTGATTTATATTAATTCTAGTGTGATGAAAGTAATAATTCACACTAAGTTTTAACCACCACTCAAAGCTCAGCTGTGCCCCCTGCTGACATCAATTGGAAAAAAAAAACAGTTTCCTTAAACGTGAACTATGGATAGTTTAGTCTCTACATAATCAGAAAACGTTGTGCTTTCAAGACAAAATGTATCAGTAATAGAAATATGTATTTAACATATTTTATATCAGACTCCACAACAGTATAAGTATGTAAAACCCTCGTAAACACAGATCATACCATGCATCCTGCACAGTGATGATTTATCTTGATGCTCTTATTTTGACGAGTCACGCTGCAGTGCATTTCCCAACATAAAGATTATTCATCATTTCTATATTTATCAAATTAATTTTTAGCATATTTATTTTCATTCTGAAGCACTGAAAAAGGAGCACATGGATTAAGAATTAAAAAAACGTGAATAAAAGGTACGATGATCATTTAGCATCATAGAAATTACAATAAACTAAATAAGACTTAAAGGCAGTAATGGCGCGTTTGTTTATCAACATCACTACTGCTTATTTGGCAGGAATTATATGTGAAGAGTATTTTAATGTTGTAATATTCCCAGTTTTGGTTGAAGATTTCCTGAGTGGCTTCCAGGATGTGAGGTGGGACTGACCCTTCAGAGGTACTCCGTTCACCCTCCAAGTGATGCTGGGCTCTGGGGTCCCTCTGGCAGAGCACTTGATGAGCACGTCTGTTCCGATCATACTGAGCTGACTCTGAGGCTCTGACACCCACTCCGGAGGTTCTGGAAACACAGCGTCAGCACAACGTTATCAAACTACCCGTGTCAGGTTAAAGAAGTCTTCCTGAGGGAGAGCACAGCAGACGTATTCAGAGGCGTCACCAGCCACACAGACGGGAACCTGGAATGGGAAGCTGCTCCAGAACTCAGCAGGACTTATGAGAAACTCTACTATCATCATTCGGTTGGTGATTAATTATTTCCCACTCAAAAGATGCAGGTATGAGAAATGGTAAAAGCTGCTCAGTGTGAGACCTGAGGTCAGGGGTCAAAGTTCAAAGGTCCTCTCAGCGACTCCTTTCTATTCTCATTTTGTCGTACTTTAGACTTCTGAAACATCACTTTTCTGCATTTTACTGGTTGATATTTGTCTGAGTGTTGAAAAAGTAAATACAATTTGTCTCCAAGTGATAATTAATTTTAGTTAGGAACTTTTTATTTTATTGTTTTCTTTACATCTTAGTGTTTTAAATGATTATGTTTTCTTTTACCATCTTTATAATCACTCTTTATCAGTTACTTTCTATCCATATTAGCTTTTTTTATTTTACATGCTATATGTTTTAATCCTCCAGTGTTTCCTCTGCGGAGCCCTCAGCCTTGGGGCCGGTGGTCGGCGGCCGGGCCGCTCCTCGGGTGGTGCCCGGGCAGTGGTGGGGGTCTCCGCCATCCCTCCCTGGGCGTCATGGGCCGGTGTCTTGGCTGCTGCCGTGGATCTGTTGCTGTCGAGGCAGATGGCTCCGCTGATGATGTGTCATCCATTACCTAACCCATCTGAACTCAGCCTTTTGTTTACTCTGTTGTTCACGTATGTGTGTGTGTGTGTGTGTGTGTGTGTGTGTGTGTGTGTATGCGTGCGCGTATGTGCGTGGGCGAGTGTGTGGGTGAGTGTACGTTCACCTTGGAAGTTGGCTGCGGGAGGGGAAGTGTAATTGTCATTTGTTTTATACTTGGGGAGGAGGGCTGGGATGGGAATATGGGATCTATGGGGCCACTTTAATCTGTGAAGCTTGGTGCTTCAGAATAAACTCTGGTACCTTCCACTGTCACAGTGAAGTAATGGACTGCTTCCCCCAGTGGGTTCTTTGCTTTGCACATATATTTCCCACTGTCCTTCTGGTCAGCTCTTGGAATGATCAGCAGTTTCCCATGATTCTCCACTTCAGCTCCATCGGGAAGCCCGAGGCCGATCTTCACCCACTCCACCTTTGGAGTTGGACTGAGAGAAAAATGCAACAAATGTCAATGTTTGTTCTAAAACCTGATTTAGTAGTAATACACAAGATTGATTTCACGTTTGACAGTGGTTCTCGCTGAAGGTTTTGAAATTGCTAGATAATAATTACTCACATTCCTTCTGGAATACACTCCAGCTCCAAGTCATCGCCTTTAACCAGCTGCTTCTCTGACTGGACACCAGGGGGCGTCAGAAGCGAGGGTCTCCTCTCCAGGATGGCATTAGCTGACAGAGGAGCACATTTTATTACTGCACACAGCTGCTTGTGTCTGCACACAGATGCACTCTTCAGACATCTAACTTACCACTCTCAGAACTGTCACGTGCCCCTGACACGGAAGTGGATGAGACACCATCACACACACACACACACACACACACACACACACACACACGCACGCACGCACGCACGCACGCACGCACGCACGCACGCACGCACACACACACACACACACACACACACACACACACACACACAGAAAGAATTGACATCAAACAAAAGCACAATGTGGATGGCAAAACCAAAGAAATCACAATATGAACTCAAATCCAAGAGCATCAATGGGACACTGCAACACTGAGATGTCGTTTGAAATGTTGCTGTGAGGTGATCAACGCTCTGAACAAACACTTAGATCATGCTGGTCTGATGCAGATTAGGAAGCTGGGTTGACATTTACTTGGTTTAACATGGACAGACATGGCAGTCTTCTGAACGATGGTGCGTATTCTCGGGAAGGAGGCGAAGCAGCAGTAATCCGTCCTGCTGTCCTTCTCCACGGCGTGGGAGAAGTAAAGGTCACCATTCAGACCCACAGACACCCTCTCATCCTGCTGGATGTGCTGCATGTCTGAGAAAAGCAAGGTGATGGTTTCAGAAACACACACACACACACATCAGTAAAACTTAACAGGGCTGTGCAAAACTTTGTTCATCTTAAAATCCAAATAAACTGTTTTAAGGCGTCGCCTAAAGGTCACATGACTAGTAGAAAGAGAAAGTTGTGATTCAGATTTATCTGATGCGCTCCCTCACAACCCCCTCATTTTTATCACACAAATACCGGTGGTCGTTAGTATATTTGTCATCCACGTTTTTATTTATTTTATTCATTGGAACCTGTGAGATAAAAGGGTTCTGAGGACCGTTCACAGCCTGGGGGCTAGAGGTGACCCACTCCTACTCTGGACCAACATTTACAACCATAGGAGACATTCTGCTTCTTTCCCTGTGAGTGAGTCCAAACCAGACCCACAAAATAGACTAGAAGGTTGACAAAGCTAACAAATCCTTCTGTTTTCCTTAAAACTACCTGTGGCGATGGTTGAGATTAATGTTTACATTCAAGACAAATAAAAGTACAAAAAAACTTTCTTTGATTAAAGCTCTTTTTAATAAAGCCTTTACACCTCTATGTGAGCTAATTTTACATTTGCGGAAACTGTTTTACACATATTACACATTAAAATGACAAAACACTCATGTCCATCATCATAAGTGGATGTATTAGAATTTATACTGAATTTATTAAAAAAAAACAAAGAGTAATTTACTCCCACTTTCACAAGTGAAGCTGGAAAAATTACAATCTGGTGCATAAGTATATTTATGTCAGTAACCCAACTTAGACTGAGAGACCATCTAGGCTCAGGAACCCTTTGCAGGTGTTCTGGATTAATTGGCCGATTAGAGTGTGACACTTTGAGACTAGACTATTGAATCTTTTAACAATATTCTAACTGTCTGAGATTTTGAATGTGGGGTTTTCATAAGCTGTAAGCCACACCTATCACAGTTATAACAAATTAGGCTAAAATATCTATCTCATAGATTAGCTTGGTGTAAATGTTTCAGTCTGGTTTTAAAAGCCATCATAGAACAGAAACAGCACTCCTAAAGGTCGATAACGATTTTTTTAAAAGGCTACTGACTCTGGTAAATTTGTCATTCTTGCGCTCCTAGAGCTATCTGCAGCATTTTACACCGTTGATCATAACACGCAGGTTGGAGCAGTGGGTTGGAATCAGAGGTACTGCTCTGGAGTGGTTCAAATCGTATCTGTCAGGTCGAAGCATGTCAGTTAATTTCTGTCAGTTCTCTTACTCTGTCACTTCTGTAAGATGTGGAGTCCCTCAAGGCTCCATCTTAGGCCCCTGCTATTTCCCCTTCCCCTGGTTTTTCAGAAACACGCACAAGTGGAGTAAGACTCTAGTAGGGGGTGACTTACTTTTTAAGGTCTAAGTTGAATGCTTGAAATACCTGTACATGAATTAAATATTGTTTTCATTAAAACACCTACAAATTATCTTCATTTGAAAAAAGCTCCTGTTGTTGTCATGATGTGAAGCTCCTGAATTGGATTTGTAGACAATTGTCTGTCTGCACAGCATGAGCTTGTAAATACTGACACATACTAGAATATGTAATGGTTTTAGGGTTTTCTAGACAGAGATGAACTCATTAGCCCTTTATTCTGGGGTCACTTAGTTTAAACTTAAATCAGAAGAGAAAGAGCCTCAAAGACAAAGGTGAAATGAGCTCTCTATCACATAGATCACACACATACCTGTAGGGTGGAACTTACTGATAGTCATCCAGTAGATCTGCAGAGGAGGAATACCAGTGGGTGGGTCACATTTCAAAATAAAAGGCTGACCTTCATCCACCTTCACAGGGTCTAGAGTCTCTTTAGGGAATTTTGGTTCATCTGGGAAACAAAAACAGAAACAATTCAATTCAATTTTATTTATATGGCGCCAAATCACAACAAGAGTCGTCTCAAGGCACTTCACATAATAAACATTCCAATTCAGGTCAGTTCATTAAGCCAATCAGTAAAATGTTTCCTATATAAGGAACCCAGCAAATTGCATCAAGTCACTGACTGGTGTCAGTGACTATACAGCAATCCTCATACTAAGCAAGCATATAGCGACAGTGGAGAAGATGAAGCATGCATTGTCAAATCTGCAGTACTCTCTTTGTCCAGAGGGTGGCAGTTATGTCTTTAAAATAAATAGGAGGGCATGTGGTTCTCACACTTGTCACGCCTAGCCACCTTTGTGGTAATAAAACAACTCTAACACCCGAAAAGACGACTAAATTTAAACAGCTTTTGTCCCAGATTGTATAAAAAAGATAAAATGTGCAATTTTTTTCATGATAAAGTTCAGTCTACCAATTGGATAGGAAAACATATTATTTAGTGATTTTTCCTGTGTTATCATTGATTTTCTTTATAAAAACTCAAGTTGACAACAAATCTAAAATCTAATGTTAGGTGAACACTACTCAGATCAAGACTTTTTCCTCACAGCTGATCCGAGTCAGGAAAGTTTAAGCTGCTCATGATAAGCCTCACTCCAGTACTTAGTTTTTTACAGTGCACACTTGCTGTCTACAGACCATGAGAATATTAAAATTAATAAAACCTAAGCATGCGTTTCTGTTGCAGATCACAGTGTAGGGAGACACAGATCAAATGGTTTGTCTTGTTATTCCTGCAAACAGATGTGCTAATATCAACAGTCTGTTTTGGAAACATGTTTATTGATTTATTTGTTTTTAAAAATGTCCCACAGACTGAGAATCACAAATCATTCTTAACCTTTTATCATCCTGTTATTTTCTTTTTTAACCTTCAGAAACAAATCAGACATTACTTCTACTGCTATGATGTTTTTATCATGCCAGCACTGCTGGGTAGTTTCATCCAGAGCAACATGAGTCCAGGTCTCCTCGGGGGTGTTTTTTCCTTTGAAGATCCACTTTCACACAACTAAACTTGGGGAGAAATTGGAAAATGGCACACAGAGACTGTTGAACAGGCTATAGATCCTGTTACATGCTTTAGAGCTGTATGTGAACCCACTATAAGTGCCGAGCACTTTAAATACAATGTGTTGGTCCAGGTGAACAGGTGCCCGCTAGCTTGAAACACTTTCCGACCATTGTAACAGAGAGGGGGAGATGCAGGTTACTCACTGGACACAATGAACTCAACCTCCTGGGATACGGCGGTCCCCAGTGTGTTTGAAGCGTAACAGCGATAGGTACCCTGGTACTCTGTCAGGTTCCCATTATTAGGTATCACAAAGGTCCCAGAATTCTCCTCTTTCATCAGGCGGGGGTCTACGGAGTGGTTAAATTCCTGGCCGTTCTTTGTCCATCTGAATCTGCATAAAGATAGGCAGTATTGAAATGTCAAGTCTTTCAGCTAGAGCTGCTTCCCCATCATTTCCCAAAAGTTCAACGCCAGAGCACCCAAACGCAATGTGCTACTGCTAAAAAGTTGTTTGTGTTTGGACTCTGTTTGGGCGCTATGAAGCTTCCCATTCTTCCCACCAATCCTGTGAAGTGGTGGAGGACACCATACTCACTCTGGCCTGGGATTCCCCTTGGCTTCACACGTCATGGGGAAACTTTCATCAAAAGGGAAGGCGATTAGGGAGCTGGGTGGCTGAGCGGTGATGGTGGGCGGCTGTTCAACTGGGGAGGACACAAACAGGAACACATTAACATGAGCAACATCACAAAGACGTTCACACACAGAGAGCTTTACAGGCCCCAGCTATCCCAAACGGTTTAGGGCAGTGGTTCCAAACCCACTTAGTGTACTTAACCCTCAACGCTCTCTTTGGATCCATGTTGATATCTCACACGGTTCGGCTAAATTCTCCCACTGGTTGTTGTTTTCTATTGTAAAGCTTTTGGTGTTAATGAGAGGTGATTTAGTACAAACTAGTTCTTACTAAGTTGTGGAATCAGCAGCTTCGCAATCAAGTTTTAGGCTCTGTGTGATTACGTGTGTGTTGTGGGTGTGTGTGTGTGGTGGTGGTGGAGATTACTGCCAAGATGTCAAACATTCAACTACTTTAACTATACTTGCTCTAGACTCAAACTATGATATTTTTGAACATTTTAAGATTGCAGGAAAAAACAAGTGAAAATTCTCAGGATTAAAATTTTTATTTGACAGGAATAAAAAAAGTCTCAAATTTTTCAGTCTTAATTATTCCAGGAAGACGTTTAAAACCCGCAAAGATTAAAGTCGTTACTGTACAAGGAGACATTTGGATATCTTTTAATGTTGCAGTTGCAGTAAAGTTAAATGAAAAAAAGAATGTACCTCTCCTGATTCATGTAATGTTTTAACCTCTCAATGTTGTTGTACATTCGTGAATATAAAACAGGGGAAATATGGTTTTATTGTTACTTCATGCTTTTAGTTTTAGAATCTTTTGCAGAGCAAATTTCAGGCTTTTCAACATTAAATACCATTATAGAGATTTTACATGAATATAGGACTTATTGGTATTTTTACCCTCCACCCAGTTTGATTAATTCGTTATTTTAATTACAATGTTCTACTTGTCAGTCACAAGGGCAGCTAAATCTCAGCTGTTGTTTGTTCAGCCCCCTTCCATGAAGTAAGTAAGTACTGCTTATACTGAGCCAGGATTCTCTGGAGGTTTCTTCCTGTTAAAAGGGAGTTTTCCTCTCCACTGTCGCTGCATGCTTGCTTAGTATGAGGATTGCTGTATAGTCACTGACACTAGTCAGTGACTTGATGCAATTTGCTGGGTTCCTTATATAGGAAACATTATTTCTGATTGGCTTAATGAACTGACCTGAATTGGAATGTTTATTATGTTAAGTGCCTTGAGATGACTCTTGTTGTGATTTGGCGCTATATAAATAAACTTGAATTGAATTGAATTAAACTCAATTTACCTTAAATAGTAAAATTATATATGTCCTATATTGTATAGCACCTTCTAAGGTTCTACAACCCCCCAAGGCACTTTACACAGTCATCCATTTACACACACACATTCCCACACTGGTGGGGATGAGCTACAACCTAGCCACAGCTGCCCTGGGACACACTTACAGAGGCAAAGCTGCTAAGCACAGGTGGCACCAATCCATCCGACCCCCACCAGCTGACAAGGTGGGTTAATTGTATTGCCCAAGGACACAACGACTGCAACAGTTTAAGTTTACTTGTAACCATGACTGTTTGTATTCCAGTTATCTGTTTAACCAATGCACAGCATTTCTACGACTTGCAGTATGTCCCACAAAAACAAGCTAATCTCAGATGAAAGCCTTCAGGCTGGGAACCACTGTAGTACTAGAAACAAGACTGTATCAGTTCAGATGTAGAAACATGAAATAATGAGAATAAATAATTGAAGTGAACAACTAAGTAGATGAATAATATAATCATTCAGCTCCAGGGACTTTGTTTTGGCATTTTGGTGCAAACAGGCATTAATAAAATATCTGGAAATCTGAAAGCTCATCCATCCATCCATCCATCCATCCATCCATCCATCCATCCATCCATCCATCCATCCATTTTCATCCGCTTATCCAGAGTCGAGTTGCGGGGGCAGCAGCCTAAGTTGAGAGGCCCAGACTTCCCTCTCCCCAGCCACTTGGGCCAGCTCTTTCGGGGGAATCCTAAGGCGTTCCCTGGCCAGCTGAGAGACATAGTCCCTCCACCGTGTCCTGGGTCTAGCTTTAGGTCTCCTCCCGGTTGGACATGACTGGAAAACTTCACAGGGGAGGCATCCAGGAGGCATCCTGACCAGATGCCCGAGCCACCTCAACTGGCTCCTCTCGATGCGGAGACGCAGCACATCTACTCCGATTACTTGACCGAGCTTCTCACCCTATCTCTAAGGGAGAGCCCAGCCATTTAGGAAAGAAAACTCATTTCGGCCGCTTGTATCTGCGATCTCGTTCTTTCGGTCACTACCCAAAGCTCATGACCGTAGGTGAGGGTGGGAATGTAGATCGACCGGTAAATCTAGAGCTTCGCCCTCTGACTCTCTCTTCAGCATAACAGACCGGTACAATGCCTGCATCACTGCAGATGCAGCACCAATCCGCCTCAAAATCTAAAAGTTGAGTGAAATTGAATTCAGGATATGAAACATGATCATGTCACTAGTTGCATCTTTGAGCTGTGGGGATATTTTCAAGGCAGCGTGATAGACATGTGGAACAGGAAGTGGACTGATGTCCCCGTCTACAAACACTTTGCAGACTGTTTGTAGAAGTAATGAAAGTTAATGACAGTTCTGTCTCTAGCGCTGCGTGAGTTTGCTTCAACACTTTTTATGTACTATTTAAAAACATCAACAGAAAGTACATGATGGGGACTAAGCAGTCATTTGTTTAACATTTTGATTGGTGGTAACTCATGAGTTCACGAGAGCCACCCATCTGAACTCATTTTACTTAAACAATGTTTGATGCTTTAAAAAAGTTGCTTCCATTTGTAAAGATGCATCCATTCCATCCATTTTGCGCTTTGAAAACTTGTCATCCTCAACAGTGATCCAATCCTAAGTATCATGGCGAGTTTGCTCAAACTTCCCAGATATGTTCTTGCTCCACCCATTGTATCGAGGTGCATTGATGCTTCCTTCTGCAGACTTGGGACAGAAAAGTATCCCAGTGGGCCAAAATGCACCGAACGGCAGAGGAGAAAGCTCCTAACTGTAGTGTTTTATATCAGAAACATGAATAATGAAATATACAATTTTCTGTTATTGCAAATAAATAAAAGTTACTGTGTGTATTGACAAACAAAACTTTTAGTTTTATGTCAGGTTCATTTTTTTTAACCATAGCAACATTATACATAAGAGTATGCTTCTGTTCCAGATGTTGTCCTCATCATCGGGTACTAGGTAGAACAGCCTTTCTGGTGTCCTTGCCAAGAATATACTTGTCAAGTACACAGGAACATACTAGTGTACTTGAGTATTAAGAAATGACCATTAAACTTTTCAGCTTTTTCATGTTGCAGTTTTTTTCACATAAAGTATGCACTATCTGCACTAACATGAAGCCCGTGTCACTGCAAAGACGGCGGTGATGGTACGCTAGTGTTTAGAGTTCAATAAGATGAAAGTGTTTTGGCTACAAAGAGGACACACTACTGGACACAATGTGGTCTAAAAGTTAGAGTCACTAATGACTTGCATTTTCAAGTCAACAGGTTTATGGAAATCGATGATGCTGCAACATAAAAGAGTCTAAATTTTAATTTAATAAGTGATTTGTCCGTTTCTGCTCTTCTTTGTCACATATCGAGTTAAAGGTCAGGTTCAGGTGGCAGCATGTCATGCGAAGTTGCATCAGTTTTAAAAGTCGTCCCGGTGTTGAACAGAAAAACGTTTCTGTTGTTTTTTTTTCCGGTTCCTGCAACACTGTGCAGTCGCGGGTCTATCTTTGGGAACAGCTCTGGACTGTCATAAGCAGCATCTGTTCTTTCTCAGATTTTGTGACAACTCCATACCATCACACCCTGCTCAGCTCTACCGTGTGGATGCCCCTCATCTGTGATCCAGAACAGACTGAGTGAGATCACATCTGACTTCAGGTGTAACGGCTCATCCCAGAGCTTCTCTGGACACATTTATATGATTGAATTCACAGAAACGTGACAAGTATTTTCTGATAATGTGATTCTATCAGCTATTTACTTCTTGAGCTAATTCTGAATTACAGATTACCTTCCAACTGCCTGAGATATGGGCCAATATTTCTGAGTAAGGCCACAAATGCTAGCGATGTTGTTGGTTTTTGCTGCTCTATCTCAATCTTGTGTTTGTTGCATTTTATTTTTTGCAGAAAGTAAAATCAAAGGAATGGATGCATTTTAACAAATTCGGTGTGTGTGTGTGTGTGTGTGTGGGGGGGGGGGGGTAATAAGACATGTTGGGTTTCCAGTGTCCACAATATAAGTAAAATGTCTTTAAAATTGGCCTTTGCTTCAGATTGGATATAAAAAAAACTTACAATATTTACACCATCTAGTTAAATCAATTATTTGAGTATTTCAGTTGAAACTAAATAGGAACTGGGTAAAATAAATGCAATTCTGATTTGTAATGTGGTTACAAGACACGAGGATGGACATTAACTGAAGCTAAAGCAACGTTCTACAGCTAATCTGACGCTAACATCCAGAACACATGGCTGTGAGCGAAGCTGCAGTCAGGGGGGAGACGAGACATTTCTACCACCACTTACTGTTCATGTGATCCAAAGCTACATAATCCACGACACCGAGGGGGAAACAAACCCAACCAAACCAGTCAACAGTTTGACAACAACAATTCTCCGGTGAAATAAAACCATTTCTGACAGCATCCCAACACAGGATTAGCCTTTCACACAACCTGTTTAAAGCTTTGGAGAAATTTCTGAATAAATCAGAGCGAGATAGTTGATAAGCGTTTCCAAGGAAACGGCGATACACTCAACACAGACCCGAATCAAACTAGATAATAGCTGTAAATATATTCACTTCACAGAACACTTGACAATCGTAACACTTCTCTCTGGTGTGATTTATATTCCTGTAAATTATTCAACACGGTTCTGATAAAACCCGCCCAAGGTTAAGTCCTCTGTGGCTCTAAAGTAAACCGCCAGACTACATCCTGGATTCTCTTTTTAGTCTC